TGCGATTCGCACACCAAAATGCTCGAAATTATGCCAAGACCTCGATTATATGACCAATTTGAGCTGAATGTGCCTCATTTGGTCGGAAACCACCTCTAAACCTTCAGCCAGCCGTCTGTCTTTGGATTTTTTGAATCTTAGCAAAATCACTCAAGATCGAAGCCAGAAAACAGAGATAGGGGAGGAGAGGAGGTCGACCGCACCTGGCTCGTGGCTTGAGATCACCGAAAAATTGATCTGGAGACGCGATTTCACAGTCGAGTGAAATCGTGGCCCTCCTGTGGCTGCTACGCTCACCAGGAATGAAGGAGAGAGGGGAAGGGAGGCCTGAGCAGCTGCGGTGGTGACGCGATGTTGAGGAGGTGAGCTCGATTGGCTCTGGTGGCCGGAAACGGGGAGGGAAGGAGGAGGAGTTCACACTGGCGCTGGAGCAAGGAAGGAGAAGAAGAAAAGAAAAAAAAAAGAAAGAAAGAAAGAAAGAAAGAAAAAAAAATCTCGGAGCTTCTAGACCATTCCAGTTTGATTCGAATTGGTTTGGTCTAATTCATCAATGATTCGGGCTCGATTTTTACTCGTTTCCAGTTTTTTCCACTTTGGTTTTTTTTAGATTTTCGTGGTGGGTTTTTGAAAAATCAAATTTGATTTCCGAGTCCGGTATGGTTTATTTTGATTAATTTAGTTAGGTTTAGTTAGGTTCCGTAACATTTCCTCCATTTACTCAATAATAATAAAAATATTAATAGTAATGATATTTGATTTTAGGATAATTAATTTATATATATTCTTAATAGATTAAATTGCTGGGGTTTCATATTATCTCTCGAAAATTTTAATTGTTCTCAAAATCAAAAATTCTGACAATATATTTGGGCATGGGCCGAACTCATAAAACTTTGGACTCAAATTAGAATTGCTCGGTCTTTACAGCCCATACCGTCAAAAATTCGAATTTTTGATTTAATAAAAATTCTAAAGTTTTGAAAATAAAATTACGGGGTGTTTCAACATTATACTAAACTAAATTTCTATAATATTTTTGGATAATTTTATTTGATTGGTTATATTGGTTTCTATTTAAACCAAAATTTATATCTTTTTTTAGACTGAAATTAGATCCTATTAACTAGAATAATAAAGGACTTTGTATTATTAATTTAATTGGCAAGTTCTTAATATATTTTTAGTATAAAAGTTATAACCTTTCGGATTTGGACTATAATTGAAGTCAAACATATTAACGTAAAACATATGTATAATATTTTATAAAAGCTAAACTGGAAAATGTAACGAAAAATGATGATAATGATGACGGGAGCTTCTTTTTTTAGAAAGAACAAAAAAAAAAAAAAAAAAAAATTTATAAAGAAAATTTTTATTGATCATTATCTATAATATATATATAAAAGTAAAGAAATTGTTGGAACATTGAGAAAAAAAAAAAAAAAAAAAAGAAAATTTATTATTGATCATTATCTATAATATATATATAAAAGTAAGAATGTGGAACATTGAGTTTCTAAAATTTCCTATTTAGTTTATAGGTTGACAAAAATATCATTTGAGGACTTTAATTTTGATTGATTATGTTATTTCTTATTTGGGTAAAAATTCTATTAGAAAGTTTAATCTAATTCTAAATAGAAAAAAATTATAATTCTCAAAAATATTCCTACTGAATTTATGAATTGACAAGAACATCACTTGACTTGTGAATATAGTTTGTATTAGTTGATTGAAGTTTGTATTCTCTTAACAACTAATACATATAAAAAAGGTTAGTTAATACTAAAAGAGATTTAAATTAATACAAAATATAATAAACTAATCAAATATATATGATTCCTAATAATAATAATAAATTAATTAAATAAACCACATATATAAATATGTATTTGTATATGTTTAATAAATATTAATTCGAGTTTATATTAGAATCCGAACCGGAAAATTTTATCTAATCTTAATTAGGAATAAAAAATCTATTGTAAAAGTTTTAATTAAATCTAATATATAATATGTATAAATTTATTGCGAAAGGACTTAACTATTTTATATTAAAAAAACCTAAAAATAATTAAATTTATAAATTATAAATTGAAATCCTTTTTTTTCCTCTTATTTTTTTTTGTTTGCTTTGTTAGTATTGTTAGCTACTCTTTGCGCTATTATTCTCCTTAAAGTATTAATTATTTTATCCTTAATCTATTAAGTAGATTTTTTTGATTAATTTTCAATTAGTATAAATTTGTTAATTTTTTTTAAAAGAATTTACTGAAATCATTATTGTAATTTTTTTAATAATTCAATGCTTCTTTTTTAAAATTATTGTATATTTTTTGTTGAAAATTGTATTATACTTTGGTTTTAATATTATATCTATTATTATGACAATAAAGGGCAAATATTTAAATTATAACTCAATTGGAAATTTAGTCTATCAAATAACTTTTTTTTTTTGCTACTATCAAGGATTTCTTTGCTTTATTATAAGTATTCATTGAAGATTGCAATATCAAGAATTCTTTATTTTGGAAGAATTCCAGCTCCATTAATCTGAACCAAATGACCAATAGATCGTCCAGTACTAGTAGACTGATGATGGGTGGTTTACCATACAATATCCAACAAGTTTCCTGAGTATGACCAGGCTTGTCACAATGAGTACATTGTTTAAATTTATTACCTTTCCACTTTCAACTATCATTTTGTACTGCAAACACGAATGCTTCAATGTTAGGTTGTGAAACTGGAGTCACAGAGATGCGAAGAAGACGAGTAGAGATATCTTCCAAAGTGGGAATGACAAAACCTATCAATTTTTAATTTTGAACTGTACTAAGATCAGATCGAAGACCTATGAGTGCTAAGACCATGAAGAATTTATTCCTTTGTTTTTCTTATAGTGATACTTGATGAGAAACGCATTATATAATTGAATTCATCAAGTAATGTTTTAACATGTCCAAGATAACGAGCCATATCCCGTTGATTTTGCTATAGATTGACAATATCAGAAACAACTTTGTATATTTGTTGTAGGTCATAGGTATATAATGTCTTGGCTTTGGTCCAAAACTTACAATAGGTCATAGGTATATAATAAACTGCATAACTGAGCATCAATTTTAGACCAATTTTCCTTTTCTGTGGCACAATATCACTGACAATTTTAATTAAATGACCATCATATACTTGTCCCATGAACAATAATTCAACTAAAGAGGACTAGGAAACATAGTTGTTACTGTGTAATAGCTCAACAGTAGTAATGGTTGGGCTAGAGAAAAGAGGTTTGAATAGATTGGGTGCAAGAGGGTCAATAGGAGTTTCAGTCATGGTTCAATAGTAAAAATCATACCTTGACAAAAAAGGAGACATTTTATACCTTGGAAGAAGTAAGATGAAGTATTGGTAATAATGAAGCTACTGAGGATGGTCATCGGAGAGAGATGAGTCGACAGGTGCAAACACAGATGCTTCAATGTTAGGTGGTGAAGCTGAAGTCATAGAGATGTGAAAAAGACGAGCAGAGATATCTTCTAAAGTGGGAATGACAAAAACTATCAGTATTTGATCTTGAACTATACTAAGATCAGATCGAAGACCTATGAGTGCTAAGACCATGAAGAATTTATTCCTCTATTATTTTTTGTAGTGACACTTTCTGAGAAAGACATGATATAATTGAATTCATCAAATAATGTTCAACCTGTCTAAGATAATGAGCCGTATCCTGTTGATTTTGCTATAGATTGACAATATCAGAAATAACTTTGTATATTTGTTGTATGTCATTGGTCTATAATGTCTTGGCTTTGGTCCTGACATTAAAACAAGTTTTGCAAGATTGAAATAAAGGAAGTAAATGGAGATTAAGAGAATGCCATAATAAACTGCATAACTGAGTAACAATTTTATACCAATTTTCCTTTTCTGTGGCAATAATATCACTAACATTTTTAATTAAATGGTCATCATATCCTTGTCCCATGAACCATAATTCAACTGAAGAGGACCAGGAAACATAGTTGTTACTGCCTATTAGCTTAACAGTAGTAATGGTTGGGCTACCGGAGAAAAGAGGTTTGAATGGATTGGGTGATATAGGGTCAATAGGAGTTTCAGTCATGGTTCAATAACAAAAATCATACCTTGCAAAAAAGGTGACGTTTTATATCTTGTAAGAAGAAAGAGGAAGTACCGATAACAACGAAGCAGTTGAGGATGGTCACCGAAGAGAGATGAGTCGACAGTGTAAGTCGCTGGTGAATCTGTTGCCGGAAAAGTGATCATATGCTGGCACATGTACTAATTAGCAGAATGCCTTGGCAGCCTTGGTGGTCACTAATGAGGATTTCAGTGATGCAGTTGTGTTTCTAGAGTCGCTGGCAGTTGACGGTTCTGTCTAGGCAGTCAGTAGGATAAAAGGATTTATGGTAATGGGTGTTTTAGCAAGGGAGAGTCTGATGCCTGTTAACATTAAAAAGAAAATCTGCTTTGTTAACATCAAAAAGAAAAGAAAAAGGAATAGGCTATTGTCCTTGAACTAGAAACAGAACTAGAGGAAGAAAGAAATTGGACCTAACGTGTAGGCTCTAATACCATGAGAAATAAGAGGGTTCGAAGCTTTGCTTGATTATTCTTTCAAGCACATTAGGTTTTAAATATAAAGAATAATATTAAGGTTGAAGTCTCTTCATTATTATGTAAGGTTAGAGATATGTATGGCAGAGTTTGTTTATAGAAGAACTCTATCTACATACAAAACTCAACCAAAAATAAGACTCTATCCCCTTTTAAATGGGAACCGTAATTATCTATTGACTCTATTATCCTTCCTCAAGTTAGGGGTGAACTCAACAACACCTAACTTGAACAACTGGTGACGGAAAAGTTTTTTTGGTTATGCTTTGGTTAATGAATCAGTGAGTTGATCAGCAGAATGAACGTGTTGAATCTTAATAATCTCATGATGAACTTGATCCCAAACAAAGTGAAAGTCCACAGCAATATGCTTCATCTAACTATGAAATACCGGATTTTTACAAAGATAAGTGACAGCAACATTATCATAATAAATAGTCGGTACTTGTGCCAATCTTATATGAAGTTCCTTTAGCAAATTCATTATCCAATTTGCTTCTGCAACTGCACCAACAACAGCCCTGTATTCAGCTTCGGTTGAAGACCTGGTAACTGTTCTTTGTTTTTTTGATGACCAGTTAATCGGAGAGGTTCCTAGATATGTGATATAACCAGATGTTGAGGAACGATCATGTGGATCACTAGCCCAATCTGCATCGATATATACTTGTAGAGTCATAGGAGAAGAATGTCTCAGTAGTAACCCATAATGCATTGTATGATTTAAGTACCTGAGCACTCTCTTTACCGCTTGCTAATTTATAACTGTCGGTGAGTGCATAAATTGAGACAATTTATTAACCGCAAAACTAATATCTGGTCGAGTAAATGATAGATATTGTAGTTTTCCTAAAACCTCATGATATTTTTCAACATCCGTAGCAGCCGAGCCATCATCTAACCGAAAAGTAACTGAGTTGGACATAGGAGAATGTACACCCTTGCTCTCATGCATATTATACTTCTGCAGTAATTCAGAAATATATTTGGATTGAGACAAAACTAACCCTTCAGATTTATGCAACACCTCCACTCCAAGGAAAAAATGTAAGGCACCCAAGTCTTTAAGTGAAAAATGGTTGGCAAGAGCAGTAATCATATGAGAGAGAGCAGTCTTAGAATTTCCAGTAACAATAATATCATCTACGTATACTCAAAGGTAGATGATGATGCTGGACCGATTAAGTATGAATAAGGAACTATCAGACTTGGCCCCAATAAAACCATAGCTGAGTAAAAAATTATTTAAGGACATAAACCATGCAAGGTAGATGATGATGCTGGATCACCGATTAAGTATGAATAAGGAACTTATCAGCTTGGCCCAAATAAAACCATAAGCTGAAGTAAAAAATATATTTAAGGACATAAAACCATGCTCGTGGTCTGCCAAAGACCATAAATAAGCCTTATGTAGTCTGCAAGACCATAAATCCTGGTATGAGTGAGCCTTTCAAAGCAAGCGGTTGACTCATATACACTTCATGATCAAGCTTCCCTTGAACTGGATGAGTTGAGCTTTCAAAGCCAAGCGGTTGACTCATATACACTTCATGATCAAGCTTCCCTTGAAGGAAAGCATTGTTAACATCTAATTGACGCAAAGGCCAGTGTTGTTGACATGCTATAGTTAAAACCAATCGAACTTTAGCAAGCTTAACAACTGGACTAAATGTAGAGTGATAATCAATACCTGGCCGCTGAGCGAATCCCTTAGCAACAAGCTGTGCCTTGTATTTGTCAAGCTCATCATTTGCTTTATACTTAATCCGAAACAGCCACTTGCACCCAACAACATTTTGATTTTGTTGTTTTGGAACCAATTCCCAAGTTTGATTTCAAAGCAAAGCATCAAATTCATCCCTCATGGCTTGTTGCCAATGAGCATCACGCTGGGCCTGTGTAACAGTGGTAGGAACATTTCGATGTGGAACAACTGCAAGATAGTCAAAAATCTATTTCGGTTTAAAGATACTATGCTGTGACCGTGTGACCATTCGTGTGGGTTCAGCAGGAGTGGGAGTTACTATTTAGGATGTATGACCAGAAGAAGTTGACACAAGTGAATCCAAAATAGGGACAGAAGGTGAGTAAGAAGTAGTACCTAGAGATGGAGAGGATTCTGAAGACCCATCGTGTACAACGGTTAAAGCAGATGAAGATGTAGGTGTGGCCACTTAACAAGGAGCTGCTGACTTGTTAACAAAAAGTGGCACGGGTATATACTCATTCAACGTGAGGTCAGATTGCAAACTAGAATTCTACTCATTATTAACATGATTTTGAGAGTACCAAGTAGTAGCATCTATGGTGGACTCAATATCTTTGAATATGGTCTGATAAGGAAAAATGTGCTCCAAAAAAATCACATCCCGAGTAAGAAATAATTTTCATGCTAAAGGATCAAAACATTGATGGTAATGATATTGGGATGAAAAACCTAGATAGACAAATAGACGCGATCTCAGTTCAAGTTTATGATTGGTGCATGGTTTGAGCCAAGGGTAGCACATAGTCCCAAATGTACGTATTTTAGAGAAAGAAGGATCACAATTAAAAAGAATTTGATATGGTGAATGAGAAGCAAGGGTTGTCGAAGGTAGACGATTTGTTAGAAACACAGCTGTTGCACACGCAAAGGACCAAAATTTTTACGAAAGAGATGCTTGATGTAATAAGGTTCGGGTAGTTTCAACTATGTGACGATGTTTTCTTTCAGCCTGAGCTACACGTTGAGGTGTGTATGGTGGTGACACCATGTGTTGAATTCCAGTGGAAGAAAGAAAACTTTTAAGACCTAAGTATTCACCTCCTCCATCAGAATAAACAGTTTTTATTTTGACCTCAAAGAAATTTTCAACAGTTGATTTAAAGGTGGAAAATATGGATGCAACATCACTTTTTTTGGTAATAGGAAAAATCCACGTGTATTTCGAATAATGATCAACAAAAATGACATAAAACCTCTTTTTATCAATTGATTCTATTGAAAAGGGGCCCCAAAAATTCGTATAAATAAGATTTAATGGCTTTGTGCTTTTTAACGTATTATGCGAAAATGGAAGTCTGGTACTCTTATTACAGAGACACGAATTACATGAAGAGAACATATTGAACTTAACACAATGCAAATGAATAAGAATGTATCACTGACTTAAGATTACGGACATTGGGGTGACCTAGACGATGATGCCAGACCTCAGGACTTGGTAGTGACACAGCGAAATTGGTAGAAAATTGGACAGGCTTGAAATGTTGAAATGGCCACACATACAGATCATCTTTTTTCATCCCGCGAACCAGAGGTGCCTCCGTGGTCAAATCCCTCACAAGAAAATAATGGGGAAGGAATTCAATGGAGGTATTTATTTGCTTAGTAAACTTTGAAATAGAAATTAATTTCTTTTGAATGTTAGGAGCACAAAGAACATTACATAAAGAAAAATTGCAGTTGGGTGTAGAAAGAGAAACAGAACCTGTATAGGTGATAGGAATACAGTTACCATTACCCATAGTGATACATTCTGAGTCTGTATATTCATGCAGACAGGCAAGATTCATGGGATTTTCCCTGACATGTTGATTAGCTCCACTGTCCACCACCCATGGATTATAATCATGACTGTTATTGGCAGCAAATATGGCTTTGGCTTCAAAATGATTGTGAGAACGGGATCATCGTTATTCATCCCGCGAACCAGAGGTGCCCCCGTGCTCAAATCCCTCACAAGAAAATAATGGGGAAGGAATTCAATGGAGGTATTTATTTGCTTAGTAAACTTTGAAACAGAAATTAATTTCTTTTGAATGTTAGGAGCACAAAGAACATCAGATAAAGAAAAATTGCGGTTGGGTGTAGGAAGAGAAATAGAACCTGTATGGGTGATAGGAATACAATTACCATTGCCCATAGTGATACATTCTAAGTCTGTATATTCATGCAGACGCGCAAGATTCATGGGATTATCCCTGACATGTTGATTAGCTCCACTGTTCACCACCCATGGATTATAATCATGACTGTTATTGGCAGCAAATATGGCTTTGGCTTCAAAATGATTATGAGAGTGGGAACGGCAGTTAGATGCTATATGTCCGTAATCCCCACATAACTGACACTAAGTTCTGGACCGATTAGAAGGCCTCCAACCTTGCGATTGTTGTTGTGGTACTTGGAAAACTCGCTGATTATTATTGATGAATGGTCTGAAATTGCCATAATATTGAGGACGGAACTGTCTAGTAGAGGTTCTTGAGCCTGATGAATTATTCCCACGAAGGTTGGAACGTGATTCGGATGCATTTGAGCTAGAATTATTCCCACGAGGTGATTGTCCAATCTGAACCGTAATAGGAGCTGCTGGTTTTTTTGCTTCCTCATGTTTGAGGAAAAGTTCATGATCAGCAAGCTTGTCTTGCATCTCTTCAAAACTGATAAGAGTGTCTTTAGCACAAATCACATCACTTATATCTTTATAGTCTGGCCCCAATCCACTGAGTACTTTGACAGTAAGCTCAGATGCATCAATCGGAGAACTAGTTGCAGCTAACTCATCTGAAATTGAGCGTATCTCTCTCAAGTAATCAGTGATGGATTTGCTGTCTTTAGTGATTTTGGACAAAATGTCTCGAAGAGTAAAGATACGAGTCTGAGATTTGTTAGCATATGTGGTATGTAGATGATCCCAAGCCTGGTTCGAGGTCAAGGATGAAGCAACAGTCGGTGCTATTGTGGGTTCTACAGATGCTATTAAGGCATTACAGATAAGATTGTCTTGTCGAACCAGACCGTCAAATCAGCATCAATTTGAGACGGTGGTGAAATAGAACCATCAAGAAAGTGAAACAGGTCATATCCACACATGAGAGTTAGAACTTGTGCCTTCCATGTGGAGAAATTTGCATTGTTGGAAAGTTTGATTGGCAGTTGTGAGGCTGGATTAAAGGTGATAATTTGATGTAATGGAGGAACAACGTTGGCAGCACCAGGTGTAAAGGAGTGCACAATAGATGGTGTGCTAGATGATTCTGACATGATGAAAGTCTATTGTAGAAGCAAAAGAAAAGAAGAAGATTAAAAAAAACTGATTCTCGTTAGAGAGTTAGGCTCTGATACCATAAAGAGTAATATTGAGGTTGAAGTCTCTTCATTACTGTGTAAGGTTAGAGATATGTACATCAGAGTTTGTTTACAGAAGAACTCTATCTACATACAAAACTCAACCAAAAATAGGACTCTATCCCTTTTTGAATAGGAACCGTAATTATCTATTGACTCTATTAAAATAGACCAAAGATTAATACAAATATGGTAATAGATCATAGCTATAACTATATAGGATACTTTATACTAATTACAAAATATTCTCACATATCTATAATATATTCTAACAATGCATAATACTATAATTCATTAGTGCGTCCTCTTTTTTTTTTTTTTAAATAAATTATTGTCTTTTTATACATTGATTGTGTTACACCATATAGTCCTTTCGCATATTTTGTGAAGTGTTTACTTTTAATTTGTATTTAAAGAAAAAAAATGGGCTTTATTTATCCTAAACCAAAGACAATTGAATTTTTTTTATTTTCTTTATTCTTTTCTTTTTCCTCTCTTCTTCTTTCTCAAATTATCCATTCAATTTGTTCAATAAAGTTCACAAACTGATCTTTATTCCTCAAACCATCTCTTCCTCAAACATTTATTTTTTCCCTAATAATAATTGATAAGTGTATTTTATAGTATTTTTAATATGATTTTTATTAGGAATTTTAGTAGTTTTAATTACTTTAATTAGTTTTTATTTAGTTTTATTTCTATTTTTATTCAAAGCTTCCTTGAAACATAGGTTGGTTGATCTTAAGGCAATATGTAGGATTTTGGCACAAAAAAGAGCAAAATAAAGTAAAACTCTCAAGCTCTAGGCTCTGGCGGTGCAACTCAGCACGCCCGTGCTGAAATCAAGGAAAATCAGCATGGAGATTCATGCCCTAGCACGCCCTAGCCGTGCTATCTGGCATGCCTGTGCCACAAGAGGACATCAATCCAAAGGCGTGTCTACCTGAGCACGGCCCATGCTACATTCCATCATGGAGATTCAGAGCCTAGCATGCCTCAACTGTGCTATGTGGCACGCCCGTGCCACAGATTCCTCTCTAGACGTGCCCCTGAGCACAGTCCGTTCTAAACCATCCTGAGAACTCAGGCTCCGACACGCCCAGATCGTGCCGCACAGCATGCTCGTGCTGAAAATCAAGTTTTATTTTAAGTTGAGAACGCCAGCCAGTCCCTACCACTTGCATGAGCACACGTAAGATGATTTCCTGACGTGCAAATCAATTTCTAATCCTATTTAGGGGCATGAGAGAGTCCTAATTAAGAAGAAATTCAAAGCCTAAGCAATTTTTTATTTCCAAAAGATTTCTTACTTAATGAAGATTCTATTTCCTAAACAAAGTTGGATTTTCTCACAAGAAGTCTATATAAAGAGAGAATCGATTTGTTGTATATGCTATCGCTGGTTCTACTATCTTTGTTCGATTAATTTCTCTCTCTCTCTCCAAGACTTCAAGCATTCAAGATTTGTGTCAAGATTCAAGGAAGTTGTCCAGAATTAATTGTTGACTAGTTTTTATATCTAAACTCTTAATCTTGTTTTTACTTTTATTATTCACATTGATTATGAAATTATTTTCAAGTTTAATTGAGTTTTATTTAATTACTATGTCAAACTAAACTCTCATACTAGGGGTTTGATGTAGCCAAAACCTAAACCTCTCAAAACTAGGGGTTTGATGTACTTAATTTCTTTTCCAAAATTTTAATAATAATTAGATTTGTTTTTTTCTAATAATTTATTTATTTGAACTTAATGCTTTTAGGCAGAATTTCTTCCTCTGGATTTGAATTTATTTTCATTAATCACTATCGGGAGAAGGGTTTTTTGATATGAAAAGGTAATAATTTACATGAGATAATAATTTGATGCGGAGCTACAACAGTTTTGAATGAGAGGTTTTCCATAAGTTAATGACTTAGGTTATGAATTTACAAAAAACAGAACCATAAAACTTAATGATTTAATTCATTGTTTGATTGCACTATTGGAATATATATAATGAGACCGTGTTAAAATAGCTAACAATACATTGGAGAAGAGCTTGTTATGATTTAGGGTTTGTTTCCCTTACCTTGAACAATTAAAATTGATTTTAACCGAACTAATAAAATAAATTGGGGAAGAATTAAGGTGAAGTAAGGAATCCTAATAAGCTTTTTAACAATTAAAATTGATTAACGAACTAATAAAATAAATTGGATAGAATTAGGTGAAGTAAGAATCCCTAATAGCTTTTAAACCTTGATTTCTTTTAATCAAAATAGCTTTGCTTGATTTCTTTTTATTCTCTTTTATTTGTTGAATTTAATTTCTTAAAATAACTCTCCTTATTACCGTTTAAATAATAGTAGGTTAACATAATTTTGGTACTTGTATATAATCGTCGTGGGAACGATACTCTACTCATTCTATATATTACTTGTTGCGATTTCGTATGTTTGCGAAAATCATTGTCAATAATTAATAATTAGTTTATTAATCAGCTTTATCATATAATACTTTTTCTCTCCATTTTGGGGTTTTCGGTAAGAAATAGCAATATTTAGTTTTCTTTATTATGGCCACCTGAACCTCAACTCTTTATCTATCTTTTCTTTCATTCTTATGCAATTATCGCTTAATTTCTTTATAGTTAAGCCTCTGGCACCTTAATCTCTTTGCTTTCTTCTCTGTCGCTAATTTTTTAGAGATTGAAAGTATTTTCTTTCTCGAAATCAACGATCGGCTCCAATTCCTCTTACTGTGGTAGGGATGTGGTGGTTTTTCAATCTGATTTTCCATCTTCAATGATTATACTGCTATTTCTGACAATAGCCTTGCCATCTGCCTTCTTTTCTTATCTCAGGAGAAGTTGGCAGATTCGATTTAGGCTATTCATTCCATTTTATAGTCCATATCTGGTATAGGATTTCTTAGTTGTAGATCTTTTGAGTTATATAGAACATTAGAGTTGAGAATTTGTAGTTCTTGTTATCTTCTTTCTCTTAATAAAATTCAATTGTGTTTTGTTGTTCACTTTGAATTGAATTGAGCTGACTGAATACTTGCTCTCTATTATGGCTATGTTCACCAATAGCTTATTAAGTAGATTTTAGCGTCTTTATCATATTAACGCTATTTTTTAGTATTCGATAATATAACATTTGAACTAACTTTTAGAAATTAAAATATTATTTAATTTTTAGCGTTTTATGAAAAACTACTCAAACAGTAATTAGAACAATTCATTTTACCGAATAGATGAGTGTTCCACTCTCTTTTCTGTAAGATAGCACTCAATTTATGAAGTAAAAAGAGCAGAGACAACATGTGTTTTTTGATGTGGACAATAGTATAAACATATATCACATATATTTTTCTGATTTTCTACTGCCACATCCTATTAGCTGTACATGTTGTACATGAAGGTGACTCTTCAATGAAGGTAGTGAGAGTCGAGTGGTCCTAATTATTTCCCGAAATTCGAGTCTATACACAGTAGACTATACCTCCTGTTACATTGTTTTCATTTCAGCATCCGACCAAGTACCAACCATCCTCAAAATCACTCTTCCTATATCTATGTATCATTCCTATAAAAGAATGTACTTACAAATTATATCATTAAAGATCGCTTAAACATAAAACCTTATATTATTTTAAGAAAACGACATATTATTTTTATTATTTTTCTTTTTTCTTAAGAGAGAAATATCAAAAAAGTATTCTATGATTTCACATTTTTATCAAAAAGATTATTTATAGTCAAGTCCTTATGTGGTTTGTATCGTTTAATGTACTAAAATCAATTATATTGCATCAAATATCAAATACAATATTATTTACTTATGTCGAAGAATTATCTTCATATTGCATACAAATTAATATGAATTATATACCTCTAATTAAATTGAATACTATGCATACAAATTAACCAACAGAGACAAAAATAAAATTAAGGTACCTCGTATGGAAATGGAAGTACTTATGAAATATGCAATGTTCTTGGAAATCAGTTATATTATGAAGGACAGAAAATAGTAATGCTGATTAAGAAAAGAATAGTTAATTTTTGGCTAGTTTACCTGCTTTGAACATTGCCAAATCAAAAAGTAGAAGAGGGAAAGCAAAGTGATAAAGGATTAAGTTTTGTCTCATACGAAGACAATATATACGTTTTCCCTCTTTGCCTTCCATGTGATAATAGCTAGCTAATGAACAAAATACAAATTGTTGCCACATTTCCCCTTCTTGTCTTGTGCATGCCCATTTGCAGCCTTTTTGACAAAGAGGAAACTAACAGGAAACTACAAAAAAATTAGAAAAGACACCATTTTATGTTTTGTCAATATTGGCTCGCCAATATAGGACCATTAATAAAGTAAAACCTATCCAATCCCATCTCATTGGAGGACCAAACCAGCCACTTAAGTCCACACCCATTTAATCCTCTAAGCAACCGTACGGAACCCAAACTGTTGCAAAAACTGAGTTGTGACCTTTCCATGTTAGCACTAAAATATCTTCTTCTCTTTTCATGCCCCAACCACTTGCATGCTCATCTAGCAAATACTTTACTTCTCTAATAGTCTCTTCACAAAATGGAACACTAAAGAATCCATTATTCTTCATTCTTTGTGATAGTTTAACCCCAGATTCTAATCTCTCGATCCTTTGTAACCCTTCATAACTAATAATATTTTCTATTTTATGACCAATATCGGATTCATATTCAATCCTTTGATTGCTATCTTTAGGCAAGAAAGTTTCCAACGCATCAAACGGTATCCATAAATAATTAAAGCAAGTAGTAATTCTTGAAGTAAGATTTGATTCGCTCAAATCGGAATCTTCATCAACCGCTACAACAATACAAGGATTGAGGTCTTTTACAGTACGAAGAAAAGCGTCTCTAAGAGAAGAAGCATCTTCAACTTTTCCATTAGGCTCATCAGACAAATAACGAAGCCAGTTTTGGCAGTTTATTACTAAGGCCTCATCGTCTCGAAGATTCAGTAAAGGAGTCAAATGAGTTAATAGTGACTCAAAATCGAAGGTAGAAGATTCTTTGCACGAGATCTCATCGCCTATCACTTTGAATTCAAATGGAACCTCTTTAAATTTTGCAAAATTGCTTAAACGGAGGCCAACTTCTTCAGTTGATACATTGAGCAAAGGAGGGACTGGTGGTCTACAAGAGGGTACAGTAATTCTAAGTGAAGGAGGCCCTTCTGGTCTTTTAGCCAAAGCATCTATAAGAGTAGGCCATTGCATACAATAAGTAATGCTAAAATCTAAAATATGAACTTTAGGATGACCTTCAATTGCTTTAAAAATTGCATTATTGGATGCACAAAACCCAAATCTATGCCAAGGGATTAAATCAACGTACCCGGCAAGTTCAATAACACTCATTTGCCTCCTTTGGACTGCACTACTACCATCAAAATTTGTTGGTGTAGGGCAAATCTTAGATGCCCTAGAAATAAGTGCCCTTAAGAAATAAGAAGTAAGCCTTTGATTAGGGTCACCAACTAAAGAAGCAACATTATTAAGAACCCACATCACTTGTTGAGCTAAAGTGCCGTCATTGCTTTCTAGGGCACTAGCACAGTGCAGTAGAAGCTTCTCTATACAAGCTCCATCGAGATTTCCAAGACAGCCTTTAAGTGCACCAGAAAGGGGATTTTGTGGGTTTCTTAAAAGATTAGGTTTTTGAAGAGGAATCGACGTAGTAGTGTTTGCTCTTAGTTCAGCTTTCATGACTAACTCTATTAGGGTTTAACGTGAATAGAAGGTATCTGAAATTCTAAAAAGCAATTTAGATGATGGGAAAGAGAGGAAGGGAGCTTTGAGTTGTTTATTGTTTGACAAGTGTCGAAGATTATTAGTGGATGGATTGAAAAGCCAGGGATTATATGGTTTTAGATTTGAAAATGTCTTCAAGATTCAAGAAATATGAGTTATAGTTATGAGTTACGTAAATCTCTCTGTACATAGTTTTTTGTCTGATAGTTTTGGGAGAAAGAAAGAAAGGGAATGGGTTGTTGAGAGATAGCTTATATTAGCTACTTGAAGGATATATATAGTAGAGAAAGATCATTGTTTCAATAATTACGCAGATAGTACCAAGCAAAAAATGTGAACTTAAAAAGACCTTGAGCTTACACTAAAATGACAAGAGTATCAGGGTTAGCAGACAAGTACTGTTTTGGCTTATTGTTAGAATTATTTTTGATTTGTACACCTTCTTTTAAATAAAAAAAAAATTTTACTATGAACCATTAAAAGATGTTATGTGAATAACATGGCTGAGGCTGAATACGCATGGAATCTATATGATAAAACCCATTCAAAACATGACTACGATAGGGGCATGGGTAGATAGATATAGAAGACCACCAAAATGAGAAAAGTGAAACAAATTGTGAGATTTAATTGTTGTTTATGCTTTGTACTCTTTAGGCGTGGATCGTTCCGATTTGGGTAAGCTTATTGAGCATTTTAAGTATATTCTTTGTGGTTGTAACGATATTTTCTGTTCATTTGATTAGAAACCAAGCTAATATAAGATCTCATTTGGTACGAGCCTCTTATCAACGTGCTAGTCTTTCAATTTGGGATTCAATCCATACTTGTTTGTCCTTTTTTTTTTTTTTTTTTTTTTTTTTTTTTTCAACGTGCTAGTCCTTCCAATTTGGGATTCAATCCATACTGTTTTCCTTTTTTTTTTTTTTTTTTTTTTTTTTTTTTTTTTTTTTTTTTTTTTTTTGCTGTAAACCACCGGTATCCAAACTCTATTATTAGGAACCGCTTAATCCGGCTTAAGATTTAGTCACAGTTAAGCCTCTTCGCCCCTCTCTGCAGTGTGTTTAGTGGGGTTAAATTCGAGAGCGCTTCCTACATGTCTACCCTACGCTGTGTTTGTCTTCTTTTTATTGTTCTTAATAAAATTTTTCTTTATTTCAAAAAAAAAAAAAATCATGTTGGTTATCCCAAACATTGCCAGCTATATTAGATTACAAACCGTTAAATTCAGTATTAATTATAAATTCCAATTATTGTATAATAGGATTTGCAACAATTAATGTGTTTAAATAATTGGAAATCTCTCTTTTTTTATTGGGGATTTTAGAATTCGACTTGTAACATATTAGTCCTGTCCTAAACTAAATCTTAAACTTGATCTAATTTAACAAATAACTTTGAGTTCAACTAATAGTTTCGGTTAAATCATGAGAACGATTGATAATATATGCTCTAGTTAAGTTTACATGAGAGGATTTCAATCCAAATACCTACATGCACTCATGTCAATGTCTATAACAGTCTTATTTCCTTTATTTTTAATTTGTTTTTATTTTATGAAAACCCTAATGTCTCATTTGTGATGTAACTTGATTCATATTTCTAATTAATCACTCATTTCCAAATATATATATAAAATATATATATATATATATAATATTATATATATATAATATAATATATATTTCATTTTTTTTATATAAAGCTCAACCTTATATATTTCATTTTTTTTATATAAAGCTCAACATATACTATCAACAGGTGTTGAAATGAATGATTAGTGCTCTTTTTCTTTAAATGTGATCCTTATAGATAGAAGAGAAATACATGCCGGAGCATTTTACTCTTAATAGGAATCTCTCAATGGACGATATTCAAACATTAATCTTATTAAGGAATTTTTCTTTTTTTCCAAATGAGAGGGAGGCAATTGTCTCCCTTCTCAACCATGTAGCTTGGTCAACATAGCAGGAAAATTAATCTTTAATATTTCTTTTTATGCTAAACCAATAATAATAATAATAATTATGACTTTAATTAATTAGTAGAATTAAGGGTAAAGCATAGGTTAAAGAAGTTGCCTTAGCCGGCCACTCTTTTGTCGAACATGTTCCCGTGCAATATTACTTGATACAAAATCCAATAATTAATTTATTATTTTAATTAATTAATATAACTTTTGCATTGAGTTTAGTGATTGATGGGTACCCTAATTAATTGCCTTCTTCTGATATAATTATATATAAAAATGAGATTAACTTGGTTGCTTGTGCGATGTGAGGCCATGAGAAAAAACAAATTAGACCTCTTCTCCAAAGGACAAACAGTGAATTATTTCACTTTAATGTAACTCCGTGTAATCAATAAACACCATAGAATATTTATGTAAACCTTTCCAATTTTTGTTTCTTTGTGCGGAAATTTGTTGCATCTCACCAATAATTGGCCAATTGGAGAGATTGATATATACCACATATGTGCAGGTGCAAAAACATATGTGTGCGCGCCCCAGTAATATATATTTCAACGTACAGGTTGAATCCTGCATTCGTTAACTTAATCCGGTTGATGAAAACTAGGATCTTTGATTAGGATTAAAGTTTGTTGAATTACTAACAACCTTCAACAGGGTTTACCTTAATCGATCATCTAGGTTGTGCAGACACAGATATTAAGATTCGAGATACAAACATGATAATTCTTTTAAAAAAGTATGATTGACACACTTAGAACACCTACTCTAAATAAATATTCCATCCGTTCTATTTATACAGAGAAAGTCAAAATTTTTCTAATAGTAAGGAGTGGTTTTTTTGTTGATTTCTTACTAATTTACCCTTGAAAAGATATTAAAGTGGTCTCTAATTTTCAATAAAAGGCGATAAATGATGAGAGAGAAGATCTGTTGCTTAAATAAGACATTTTATTTGTTTAGACTTTCAATAACAAAAAAATGTGACTGTTTAATTGCAATTGCGCACTAAAATTTCAATATCAAACTTGGATTGAAAAAATTGGCATGAAAGTTGAAAGAAAGTTGGAGCCAAAATTTTCAACCTCAAATTCTTTATTTTTATTCTCCAATTTATGCGTAAAAAAATGAAATTTGGAGTCAAAATTTTTAAAGCTTAATTTATTTAAATAGGGACGAGTTCACAACTCTAAGATTTAATCCACAAATGCCATGGACATAGTCCTTCCTTTTGATTTGAATACAGTCCTTCAAAACTTGCTAGCAACTTTAGAACATGTGCTTATACTCAACAATCAACCTTAAACTTGATCTCTTTGTCATTCACTGAACAACCATCTTCTGTAGAATCTAAACCACACCACCCTCAAGTAAAGTTCCAGAAGATGCTCGAAAAGGCAACAAAAAAAAACAAAAAAACATCACTGGAGATGTAAAAAAAAAATACAATTTGTATGTTACTATGTTTTGACACTGAAAAGGGTGAGTCAAATGCTCGTAATATTCATAAAGTTGCAGACAGTTTATCCATATCCATTAAGACAATTTATAGAATTTGGCATAATGCAAAAAATAAGCACAACTATTTTTATTTAAACAATGAAATTAGGGTTTAGGTTATGTATCTCTCTCTTTAGCCATTTAAAAAGTTTATGAAAGGAAAGATAAATGGGCACGAATATTTTTATTTAAGCATTGTCTTTTGGAGGAAATTTTCCTCCCTTCAGTATTTATTAGAGTTGTGCGCATAATGTCTCAAGCATGAGCTTCTTGGTGAAATTGTGCGCATAATGTGTTTGAATCTCACATTTTGTTAATGCATGGTTCAGTCAATTTTTGAACATTAAATGCCAACCACAATAATGTCTACCACTTTCTTGAAATACTCTCAAAATCAATGTTTAATCTATAAACCAAAGCAAGGGCATATTGGACCTTTTGTTTTGGCATTAGTCCTAAAGTTACCAAATTAGGAAAATTTATCTATATAAATAGAACACCCAAAAAGAAAATTTTCTCTTTATAAATAGAACGGAGGGAGTACAATTTATTAATAATTTAAATAAATAAATAATCATTTATAACAAGTCATAAATATCAAATAGAAACGCTTAGTTTCTTATTTCAACTTCATTAGTTAAATTTTCAAAATAACATAATTATTGAAAATTATAGTGTCTTAGGCTTATTTTAGAGATCAATTGAGAATTTCAAGAATTTCGGTATCTTTAAAAGACATCAAATTAATCATCGTTAATATTCTACATTTTAATTCGTTCAACATAATATTGTTGAGTCTTTTTTATATAAAGCCTTGTGAATTATTGATTTCAAATTAAAATTATAAATTAGTTCTTGAATTTGAAAATAATAGATATGTAATTAATAAATAACAAATCGTAAATTATGAGAAAAGTTTGTCATATGTATCTTTTAATTTTATAGTGTAAGTATTAATAATTACCAAATATATATTTTAGACAACAATTTAAAATTTTTGTTAATGAAGTTATCGAAAAGTCTTACAGAATTTTCAAATGTGTATAAAGTGTTCAATACGTATCCTCAGAGTGTCTCGCATGTATCCTTAAAATATTCGAAATTAATAAGATAAAATAAATAATATGACACATTTTTTAAAGTATATCTGATACGTCTCTGGAAGTGTTAGAGAGGTGTCAGTGTCCGGCACGAGTACGTCGAATCTTTTATAAAGAGTCGATGTAACTTAATTGACAACTTATATTCTTTAAAATGAGTAAAATGGACTAACGAGAGTTAGTTTGAATGAGAAAAACTCATGTCCCTCAAATAAGAAATTAATTCTAATTCCAATAGACTGGAAACACTTATTGTAAAGTAATTTATCTATTTAAATGATGTAGTTATAAAATGAGAGATTAGGGCTTGTTGTGTAAATGATAGTACTTATGATTTATATGGTCGAGAATCTAAAAGAGAGCAAGTTCAATATTTTTTTTGAAGGGTAAAAGAGTTCATTAAAGCAAATAAGCTAATAAAGTATTAACAATAAGAGCTGGCAGGACGATTTCGCTCCATATACTTAGGCACAGAATAAGCATGCATTGCTAGCAAATGAGCAACACGATTTTCTTATTTCTTTACAAAGCAAATAGAACTATTCATACATTTTTTCAATAAATCCAAAACTATAGAACCAAAATAAAACTTATCAATCAAACTGCGGTGCATCCCTTACACTAGAAGCTAGGAATCTGATTCAAAGATGACATTAGTGATAGAGTTTATACTATTAGCCATGCATTTGTAATAGTATAGCTATTATTTCTTATTGTTGAAATTGAGATGTACATTTAATAAATCATTTATGGTATATTTATAATTATTGTCTTTTATCTTATACTTGTGAACCCCTTCCCCAAAAGCACATAGGCATGTGATGCATATTGGGGAGATGTACATTTAATAATCATTTAATGGTATATTTTATTATTATTGTCTTTTATCTTATACTTGTGAACCCCTTCCCCAAAAGCACAATAGGCAAATGTGATGCAATATGACAAAAGAAAGAAATGCACGTGGTGAGTGTGTGAGTCGCCACCTTGTTTAATTATTTTAGGGTAAACTAGGAAAAAAACCTGAATGACTCCATTTTTAATTAACCTAGTTACTAGATTAATTATCCCAATGATTAAGGCACAATCTACGAAATCGAGGTGGATCCCGAGACTATGTCATGCTGATAAACTAACCGATGAATGAGTGTTTTGCAAGGGTGAATGATGGATCAATGAAATGTTTAAGTGATTTCGACTTGCCACCCGGGGTGAAATCCCGAACGTGCCTACGTACTTCCATTTGAATGGAAG